GCTATGTCGACAGATCCTCTCTCAAGCCGGCTACCACTCTCACAAATAGTGATGAGATCTCTGTCAATCCTGCTTACACGTTATGGAAGAGACAAGATAAGTTAATCTTCAGTTCGCTTATTGGTGCCATTACTTCATCCCTCCAGCCACTCGTTTCTCGAGCCACCACTTCCACTGAAGTCTGGAACACACTTGCTCTCACCTACGCAAAGCCGAGTCGGGGTCACATAAAACAATTAAAAACTCAACTCAAACACTGGCACAAAGAAGAGAAGACAATCGATGTTTATCTTCAAGGTATTACCACAAGACTTGATCAACTCGCAATCTTAGGGAAAGCTGTTGAACATGAAGACCAGATCGATCTCGTCCTTGAAAGCTTACCGAAAGACTATAAGACTGTCATCGATCAGATCGAAGGCAGAGACAATCCACCCACGCTCACTGAACTTCATGAGCGTCTCCTCAACCATGAAGCCAAGCTCCAGTCCGCTGGGGGTACTATTGTGCCTCACACTCCGGTTACAGCAAATGCAGTGCAGCAGCGCTCCAATGCCACTTCTCATCGTGCTCAGAACCGTTACAAGCATCACAACAACAATAACAATTCCAACTCAACCAATCCCGGTAACTGGCAATCTTCTCAACAATCACATTGGCAACAAACAAGGGGTCCCAGACCATACCTTGGCCGTTGTCAGATCTGTAGAGTGCAAGGGCATGGTGCCAAACGCTGTTCTCAACTTCAACAGTTTCAAGCATCGTTGAATCAACAAGCTAGTCCGTTTACTCTGTATCAGCCTCGAGCAAATCTGGCCATTGGCTCTACTTACTCCGACAATCCCTGGCTCCTCGATAGTGGTGCAACGCACCACATCACGTCTGATCTCAACAACCTGGCTCTTCATCAACCTTATCATGGTACAGATGATGTTGTCATTGCGGATGGTTCTACCATTCCTATCACCCATACTGGTTCTATTTTCTTCCCTACAAACACAAAAGCATTACAATTACAAAAAGTCTTATATGTACCAGATATACACAAGAATCTCATCTCAGTTTATCGTCTATGCAACACTAACCGTGTCTCCGTGGAATTCTTTCCCACTTCCTTTTAGGTGAAGGATCTCAGCACGGGAACCCCGTTACTCCAAGGCAAAACTAACAATGAGTTGTATGATTGGCCGCTACCTGCGTCTCTCACAACGGCTATGTTTGCTTCGTCGGGTTCAAAAGTTCCACTCTCCTTCTGGCACTCACGTCTTGGAACAATCTCAAAAATTCTCCATCTATCTTAAACACTGTTATGTCCAAAAACTCTCTTCCTGTTTCAGAACAATCTCAAAAATTACTATCTTGTTCTGATTGTGAGATCAATAAAAGTCATAAACTCCCATTTTTCCAATCTACAATCATCTCTTCTCGACCTTTACAATACTTATACTCTGATGTTTGGAGTTCCCCTATCCTTTCTACTGATCATTTCAAATACTATGTAATCTTTGTGGATCATTACACCAGATACACTTGGCTATATCCTCTCAAACAGAAATCACAAGTCAAAGACATATTCGTTTCATTCAAAAATCTGGTCGAGAATTATTTTCAAAGAAAAATCAGTACCTTTTATTCAGATAATGGGGGAGAATTTGTTGCACTGAAAGGATTCTTCTCTGCCAATGGCATCTCTCATCTTACATCACCTCCACATACACCAGAACATAATGGAATTGCTGAGAGGAAACATCCTCATATCGTGGAAACTGGTCTCACTCTTCTCTCTACAGCATCAATACCGAAGACATATTGGCCGTACGCTTTTGCCGCAGCGGTTTATCTGATAAATCGCTTACCCACACCGACGCTTGATTTCCAATCTCCATATCAGAAGCTCTTTGGCGTTCATCCGAATTATCAGAAGCTTAGGATTTTTGGCTGCACGTGTTATCCATGGCTGCGACCATACAATCATCACAAGCTTGATGATCGATCTCTACGGTGTGTCTTCCTGGGTTACTCCACCTCACAAAGTGCTTATTACTGTCTGCACATCCCAACAAAACGCATCTACACTTCACGACATGTCAAATTCGACGAAAGCAGTTTTCTGTTTCAAAATCACAGGCCGTCTTCACCAATTGCTACTCCGATATCTTCTGATACTTCAGGCTGGCCGCCTCATACAACTCTACAGGTTTTGCCAACAGTTCTGCCTCCGCCGATCCCGTGCTCAGACCTTCACTCCGACACACTATCATCGTCACAATCGATTCCTCAATCTCCGGCGACCTCTACGAACTCTCAGGTTTTGCCTTCTATCTCTCAATCTCCTTCTACTTCGCTTCCCTCTGAGCCCACTGCTCCAACTGAAAATGGGCCACAACCCATGGCCCAGCAATCTCATCCAAACACCAATCCACAAATAGATAATTACCCAGTCGAAACAAATCAACCACCAACAGATAATCCTCCGGCCCAAATAAACCAACCACAAACAATAACTCAACCACCTCCACAAACACGAAATAATACCCGACAACAAGCCCAACAAAGACGACCACAAGCAAAACCCTCACGCAGAATTTCCAAACCTATCATTGTCCCTCGGTTGAATCCTGCAAATAGACACAACATGTCCACCCGAGCCAAACAAGGAGTAGCCAAACCAAACACCAAATATACTTTAACCACCGCCACAATATCTACCTCCGACGATGAACCTCGAACAGCACTTCAAGCTTTGAAGGATGAAAGATGGCGAAATGCAATGGGAACCGAATATAACGCTCAATTGGGTCTTCGGAGCTGGGATCTAGTTCCACCTCCACCATCACATGTCACAATAGTTGGATGTCGTCGGGTCTTCACAAAGAAGTATCATTCTGACGGCACACTCAACAAATATAAGGCACGTCTTGTGGCCAAGGGTTACAATCAGAGGCCTGGTGTTGACTATGCTGAGACTTTTAGTCCGGTTATTAAGACAACTATTATTCGTACAATTCTGGGTGTAGCAGTGGATCGTTCGTAGCCGATACGTCAATTGGATGTAAACAATGCCTTCTTACAAGGCACATTAACTGATGAAGTCTATATGTCACAACCGCCAGGATTTGTAGATAAGACAAACTTCACTACGTCTGTAGGCTGCGAAAGGTAATATATGGCCTAAAACAGGTTCCAAGAGCATGGTACGGTGAACTCAGAAATTTTCTCCTCACCATTGGTTTTATTAACTCTGTTTCAGACACATCTTTGTTCATCTTGAAGAAACAGAGGTCGATTGTTTATATGCTCGTTTATGTGGATGACATATTAGTCACTGGCAATGACACCAGTCTTCTCAATCATGCTCTCGATGCGTTAGCTACAAGGTTCTCCGTCAAGGAACATGAAGACTTACACTATTTTCTTGGCATTGAAGCAAAACGTGATAGTCATGGTCTACACCTTGCTCAGCGAAAGTATATAAATGATCTCCTTGCTCGCACCAATATGCTCTTTGCAAAACCAGTAACCACTCTGATGGCTGTCTCACCTAAATTGTCATTACACTCGGGTACAAGGCTTTCGGATCCAGCAGAATATTGAAGTGTTATTGGGAGTCTCCAATACCTTTCTTTCACACCGCTGGATCTTTCCTTTGCTGTCAGTCGTCTTTCACAATATATGCATGCTCCCACCACAGATCACTGGCAAGCAGTTAAACGATTACTTCGCTACTTAGCAGGCACGGCGGACCAAGGCATTTACCTCCAAAAAGGCAACGCTTCGAACCTACACGCTTATTCTGACGCTGACTGGGCTGGAGATAGAGATGAATATATCTCTACAAATGGGTACATTGTTTATCTCGGCTCTCACCCTATTTCGTGGTCATCCAAGAAACATAATGGAATTGCAAGGTCTTCAACGGAAGCTGAATATCGCTCAGTTGCAAATACAACCTCTGAATTACGATGGATATGCTCACTACTCGGTGAACTTGGTGTTTCAATTTCTACTCCTCCAGTTATTTACTGCGACAATGTGGGAGCAACATATCTCTGCGCCAATCCAATTTTTCATTCCAGAATGAAGCATCTTGCTCTAGATTATCATTTCATTAGGAATCAAGTCCAATCCGGTGCACTGCGGGTTGTTCATGTTTCCACGCGGGATCAGTTGGCTGATGTTTTAACCAAACCGTTCTCTCGTTCTGCCTTCAATGACGTCTCTAGCAAGATTGGAGTTGTTCCCCCACCTCCATCTTGAGAGAGCGTATTAGGAGTCAATCATATCAATGATTACTCATATCACGGATCCATTTATGTAAACTATATATTCTCTCTTACTGTCATACGAAACCCTACAGATGTACTCTCTTTGTATAAAAAGACTACTCATGTATAATAAGAACAACACATTCTATAGAAACCTATAGAGTCTATGTCAGGATGACGCTAGTTTTCAGAAACTAGTTATGGGATGACACCAAAAACCAAATTGAAACCAACAAAAGGAAGCAACACTGAACCAATATTCACACTTTGTTTCTGGCATTTGCTTAAGTTTCAATTCATGCTATTAAGAAAATAATAATTATTATTGTTGATTCAAAGCAGAGTACGTCTTAAAACTAAAACCCTGACTTTTTTTTGGACAGACTTAAAAACCTGATGCATCTACATAATTTGCTGTCAATTATAAATTGCCGAAAGCGTAGAAACCCCAAGAAGTGTTTGCCAGGATAAGCCTTATTAATTTATTAAATATATACACAAAATTGACCATTTTAGTTGACGTCTTTTCTTATATAAATATATGGAGACATGTGATGACAATAAAAGTTGATGAAAGTTAATCAATTATTTGATTAAATTACATTGCACCTTACGTATGTATATACTCATAAAAATTCAGTAAATACGCATTATTATGAATGTTCATAACCACCCCACAAATATATATGTACGCATAAACTAAGCCAAGACGGGTCTTTGCATTTCTTAGAGACACGTCCATCCAAACCGTATATGTATAACATTAACCTTTATAACACTTTTATTTCCAAACAAAGCCAAAAAAAAAGCTCAAGATAAAAAAAAAAAAAAAAAAAGAAGAGAGGATGACATCGTATTCAATCGTGTCAGAGTTTGAAGGGACAATACTGGAGAACGCAGATTCGTTCTCTTACTTCATGCTCGTGGCTTTCGAAGCTTCTGGTTTCATCCGTTTCACCATCCTGTTGTCTCTCTGGCCCATCATCGCACTCCTTGACGTTTTCAGCTACAAAAATGTCGCTCTCAAGCTCATGATCTTTGTAGCGACGGCTGGAGTCCGTGAATCGAAGATGGAGCTGGTGGCTAGAGCCGTCCTGCCAAAGTTCTACATGGATGACATAAGCATGGACACTTGGAGGGTTTTCAGTTCGTGCAAGAAGAGGGTTGTAGTGACGAGAATGCCTCGAGTTATGGTGGCGAGGTTCGCCAAGGAGCATCTTGGAGCCGATGAAGTCATCGGTTCAGAGCTGATCGTGAACGCGTTCGGTTTTGTCACTGGTTTAATACGTGAAACCGACATCGATCAATCCATTTTGAACCGTGTCGCTGACTTGTTTGTTGATCAGAGGCCTCATCTAGGTCTTGGAAGGCCGGCTTCGACGGATTCCACAACTTTCTTATTGTTATGTGAGGTAATTCTATAGCAAAAATGTTAGCGTCGATACTCTAGAACCAACAACGGGAAGAAAACTAATTTAATACGCTCTAGCCCTCGGTTCAAGGAAATTGTGATCTACATCCAAAACTTTTTAGTGAATTAAATAAAAGAAATATATTTTACAAAACTGTAACGTCGTTAAGAGCCTTTCCATCCATCGATATACTTTTCACCATCTCTTCTACAAAAATTTATTTATTTAATTAAAAATTAAAATATAAAAGGAAGAAAAGAAAGAAGCTAGTTATTATTTGATATTTGTAAAAAACGTTTTTTTAAGGTTTTTTGTTTGAAAAACATATTTGGTTTCTCTCTCTTTCTTTATTTTTTTAATTTTTTTATTCTTGAAATACTCACCCAATATTCCATCTGCATTATTAAGTTTTTACTAAAAATCTGTTATAAATTATAAAATAAGAAATATTAGTATTTTATTAAAAAAAGATTTTAGGGTGGATCTCTCACTTTTTTTAGAAACTCTTAATAAAATATTATGACTTGTTGCTGGTTGTTATTTTATTACTGTTGAGAAACTATATATGTGAGACAGTGAGAGACGTGGTGTATTGAAACAGAAATTTTAGAAGACTTTGTGATTATTTAGAAATTCCATGTTATTCAACTAATGATTTATAAATGTCTTACCAAAGTCCATATTATTGAACATAAAATTTATATAAAACCAATTAAAATCATTTCAACATCCATGTTATTCAATCAAAAATTTGTAGAAACCAAATCAAATCCACTATTATTAGAAATATTTTAAATAGTAGATTTTATAAAATATTGAGTATTTTTAAATGATTTGGTGGAGTTTGTTAGTTAAAAATATAGAAAACCAAATTCACTTGTTTTAGGTGGGATTTCATATAATTTTAATATTAAATCATATCAACTTCTCTAATCCATATAAAATTATTTAAAATTTCATTAAAATTCAAATCTTTTCAAATTTTCTAAAATTTTAGTTTCAATACACCCCCGTAATGTAATGCAGATGCTCTAAGGAATCTCGAATCTGATAAATCTACTAAAGAAACTAGATTATAAGTTTGATATATAAAAGTTAATGCCTTCTTCGTGAGCATGTCACACGTAAAATAATTCTAGTTCACCAGTATGATATGTACTATTGTTAATTTACATATATCAATGATTCTTTTTTTTGTTCAACCAATGATTTTTGGTTTAAAATGTATATAATGAGCTATAAAATATTAAATTATAAATTCTACATATACGTATATGCTGAGATAATCTAGTAGTAGTATAATGATCACTGTTATTATATATATATTTTTTTGGTTTAAAACTGTTATTATATATATATATATGTATATTCGTATAAATGAAATAATAATCATTAAGTGTTAAAACATGTATGTATGTATCTAGGAGCAAATTCATGAACCAATTCACAGGAACAACCGTGACCAACAACTTCAGCTGCAGCCTCCCAAGCCAGTGATCTTCCATTATGCACGCTTCGTGAAGCGACCAACACCAGCCACGGCTCTACTCATTCTCATCTGGATCCCATTTGGAATCATTCTCGCTTTAATCCGAATGTTTTTTATCTGCACTCTCCCATTATGGGCCATACCATACAACATTGGCTGCTTTCGAGTCATCTTGAAGGGCAAGCCTTCTACTGGAAATTCTGGTGGCCTACTCTATGTATGTAATCATAGAACTACGCTTGACACTGTTCTTATATCTTATGCTCTCAGACGCAGCATCCCGGTCATTGCAAAAAATATGTCACCGTTATATGATCTTCTGACTCCAATCCCCATAGTCCGGTTTACAAGAATCCGTGAGGTTGATGCTGAAATGATGAAGCAAGCCCTCTCCAAAGGAGACCTAGTGCTCTGTCCCGAAGGAACCACTTGCTTTCAACCCTTCGTGCTCAGGTTTATACATTATTTACCAAAGAAAGAAAAAGAGTAGCTAAAAACTTTGGTTTCTTTCCTTTCTTCTTCTCAAGTGTTGGAAACATTTTGATATACTAAAGGAGTGGTGGCCTAATAGTAGTGCAACGGAGTTGATTCATTTATGCCCTGAGTTATTTTTTGAATCGGAATATGTAAAACCTGATATTTGATACTAGGAACGATTATGGGCCGAAAACACGAAACACTCATGGTTTAAAAAAAAACATGTGTTGGGAACTGATTTTTCTTACAAGTAAACTATTACAGGATGGTGATCAACCACCTAACAGATTCTTGTTTATCAAACGCAGGTTTAGCGCAATGTTCGCGGAGTTAACAGACAGGATCGTGCCCGTGGCGATTAACTGTAAGCTTGGATTCTTCCAAACCCCTACAAGAAGCTGGGATGGTCTGGACATGATCTTCTTATTGATGAACCCGACACTCGTTTTCGAGGTTACGTTCCTGGACCAGCTCCCCTTGGAGGCCACGTGTTCATCTGGGAGAAGCGCATATGATGTGGCGAACCATGTTCAAAGAATCTTGGCGGATACATTAGGTTTCCAGTGCACTAAGTACGGCAGATCCGATAAGTACAAGACTACATACTAAGTGATGGCTCACGTTATAAGGCATATATATAAAATCTATAAAACTTAAACTACTTGATAGAAAACGTGTACTGATTTTACTAGTTATACTAGGTAATTATACGCGTCATGGGTAAGTATATGAATTTTATCAAAGGTTTGTAGTTAACATAGGAAGATTGTTACTTTGTTATTCGATTTGATTTTGATATTTTTTTTTTTTTGGTATTGAAATATGAAATATGAAATTAATTAATAAGTAAAAAAAATTACAAGCGTTGGAAGAAACATTGTATGATATGAATCTGTCACAAAACATAGTATAATTTGAGCTCTTGTCTCATCACAAGTTTTCATCACAGAGAAAGCAAGATTGGAAAACTTCTCATTATCGAGTGCACCTGTACCCAGATTATGTAAGAGATATAATTAATTATGGATATGATTTCGATTCTCATTTATGATGATTTCTCTGATTGGATATATTCTGTAATTAACTTATTCTAGAGCTTTCTTTGTTCTTCTATACCTATGTATCAACTATTATAATATATGAAAAACACAGTCTTAACATGGTATTATAGTCTTAATGGGATACCCTTATTTTTTCTTTCTCTTAAAAGTACTTTCCTCCATCTCTTGTTGGTCTCTTCTCCGTTTCATCTCTCTCTCTCCTTCTACTCTTGCGACTTCTCTCTCTCTGAAATCTTTTAATTCTGTTACCATGGCCACCAACGCTGAAGCTATCGATGCCACTCAATCCTGTAAGTGCAGAAATCGTTTGCAACATAAGATATAATTTGGAAAACATAGAATTCAACGCTTATTTCATTAACTAAATCTTACAATTTAATTCTTTTGATTACAATTGTATTGGTGTTACATAATTCTAACGAATCGTTCTAAACACTCTTCACAAAATCATACAGCTGTGTATCTAAGAGGAGGACACTAAACTTTTCGCTCCTTCTTTTCCTATGAAGCTTAAAGATAATCTTAATCAATTGCGGGTAAAGTGTATCTAATACTTTGCGGCCAGCTTCGTATTTATCTAACTACCCAAACCCTAAACTTAGGGTCTCTAGTCTTGCCCGCGTGTTCTTTCTTGGAGCAAGTTTCTTTGTGGACGAATATCTCCAAATATTCGCCAAGCTTCATTTGATTCTATTTTCTTATTTTGCCACGTTAGCAGTGCTAAGTCAGCTACAAACTTCTACGACTAATGATTTCCTTGAGTTCGTCCTTGATATATACACAAAGGTGGATCCACGTAAAGAAAAGATAGGTCCGCTGACTCCCCCAATTTTTCTTTTTAAATTTAGATAATACATTCATTGATTTTGAACCTGGTTTATATTACTTTTTGAACCCGTAAATATTTTAACATATCTAACCCATTAACAAAATGGACATTTTCTTCCTAAGAAAATCGTGAATTCATGACTCATATTCTAGTCCATCTATCTTGCCTTTATATTATAATAAACTATTAGAACAAAATTGAGCTCAATATCTAAACACACCTTTTTCCAATTTTAAACTTAACTAACAAAGATTTTTTTTTTCCTATTTCGCAATTCACGTCTCTTTTCGTCTAGACTCCTTGTTGTGCTGTTTTTCATCATCACTTCATTTTCAATTAATCAAGTCTCAGATTAATTCTCAACTCCTTATTGCGTTGTTCCCATCATCACTTAAATTTTAATTAATCAAGTAAATGTAAATTTTAGATATAAATTTCATTTATATAAGTTGTTGCTTAAAAGTTAATATATACATGTTGTTTTAATCTCAGAAAAAAGACAAAGTAATGGACAAATTTTGAAAAAAAAAGCTCCATCATCATCTCACAGTGATAGTGATTTGGATGATTTACCTTGGAATCCTGCAGATTGGACGAGAATATCAGATTATCATCCAAATCAAAAAGAGGAGATAATTCACAAATACCTGACTAGGGGTCCTTGCCAACCCCGTGGTCATATTTTTGAACAAAAATCTATAGACAACACATTGAAGCGATTTAATCCGGTGTGGTTTGATCAATACTCTAACTGGTTAGAGTATAGTGTGAAGAAAGAAAGAACTTTTTGCTTTTTCTGTTACTTATTTAGAGATAGTGCTGATAAAAGCGTGAAAGTGATGCATTTATCACATAATGATACTCTAGGTGGAATAAGTTTAAGAAGTCATTTTCAGAGCATGTTGGAGGTGTCAACAGTTTTCATAATAATGCAGCTATGAAGTGTGAAAATTTGATGAAACAAAGCCAATCTATTGGACATGCTTTTCATAAGCAAGATGACATCACAAAAAATGAATATCAGATTCGTCTACATGTTCAATTGATGCTGCTAGATACTTATTATAACAAGGGTTATCTTTTTGTGGTCATGATGAGAGCAAAACATCTACTAATAGAGGAAACTTTGTGGAACTCTTGAAATACACTGCTGAGCAGAACAAAGTTGTAAGCAAGGTTGTTTTGGAATATGCTCTGGAAAATAATCAGATGGTGTCTTTAAAGATCCAAAAGACATCGTGCATTGCTTTGCAGAAGAACTAGTCAAATCTGTTATTGAAGAAATTGATCATGATGTTTTTGGTTTGTTAGTGAATGAGTCTTCTGATGTTTTTGATAAAGAACAAATGGCAGTAGTGTTTCGATTTGTTGATAAAAAAATGATAGTCAAAGAAAGATTCATAAGTATTACACATGTGAGTGAGACTTCTTCAGCATATTTGAAATCTGTCATTGATTCTTTGTTTGATAAATATAGATTAAGCATTATGAAGGTGAGAGACCAAGGTTATAATGGAGCAAGCAACATAAAAGGTGAGTTTAATGGGCTAAAGTAATTAATCTCGAAGGAGAACACATCACCATATTATGTGCATTGTTTTGCTCATCAACTTCAGTTAGTTGTTGTGGCAGTTGCCAAAAAATATTTTGATGTTAGAGATTTTTGGATATGATTTCTCTGTTGCTGAATGTGGTGGGAACTTCTTGCAAAAGGAAAGATATGCTTCGAGAGAAACAAAGAAAAACTATTGAGAAAGGAATTGATAATGGTGAGCTCAGTACTGGAAAAGGGTTAAATCAAGAGGTCTCTCTTAAAAGACCAGGAAACACTCGTTGGGGTTCTCACTATAGCACTATCTTGTGTGTGGTTGAGATGTTTGCTTCTATCGTCAAGGTGCTTGCGTGTGTTCAGAATGAAGGTACTGAAGACTCCAAAAGACGTCAAGCACATTGTCTCCTTAGATACTTCCACAGCTTTGATTTTGTGTTCTATTTGCAGATGTTGATACACCTCTTGGGACTCACATATTGTTTGTCCATGGCTCTACAGAAAAGAGATCAAAAAATTTTGAATGCCATGTCATTGGTGAAACTAACTAAGAGACAACTGCAGAAGTTTAGAGATGATGGGTGGAATTCTCTAATGGCTAAAGTTTCTTCTTTCCGTAAGAAACATGATATTGAAGAGCTTGACTTGGAGGAAGATTTTGTTGACTCAAGGAGACCAAGAAAAAAATCAGGAATAACAAATATGTATCATTATAAGGTCAATTGCTTCTATAGTGTTTCGGATCTGCAGCTTCAGGAGTTTAGCGATCACTTTAGTGAGGTGAACACATGACTTACTTATTTGTGCTGCTTCCTTGTCTCCCATTGACTCATTCTTTCAGTTTGACCACTCAAAGGTGATGAAGTTATCTACATTCTATCCATATGACTTTAGTCATGCAGATAGCATATCTCTTGAGCAACAGTTAGATATCTACATTGATAATGTTTGAAGTGATGGAATATTTACTCATTTAGGTGATTTGGAGAACTTGCTCGTACATTGGTAGAAACATATGTCATATACATTGATTTATAGGCTTTTGAAGTTGATTCTGATTTTGCTTGTCGCTACTGCAACTGTTGAAAGATGTTTTTCAGCAATGAAGATCGTAAAGACAGATCGACGCAATAGGATTGGAGATCAGTTTTTGAATAACTGTTTGGTTTGTTATATCGAAAAAGATATTTTCAAGACTAATACAAACGAGACTGTGATAAAAAAAATTCAAGATATTAAAGATTGTAGGGTGGTTTTGTAATATGATGGTTTTGCAGTGGTTTTGCAAGTTATTTTATTTTTTTATGAATAATTTTTTTGATATTAATATAATTATTTCATATATTTTGAACCTGGTTAAAAAAAATCGTGGGTCCGCCATTGTCCATAAAGTGCATCTTCAATCTTCCTTTTTTAACTTAAGAGGATTATTGGGAGATGGAGTTATAAATTTTTAATTGATTTTAAGAGTTGAGAAATTTGTTAAATTTAGAAAGAGTTTGTTTATTTAGAAAATCTATGAAAAGACTTTATTATAATAACTTTCAAAATCTAAGACATGTAAGTAATATTGGAAAATATTTCAAAATCTTGTTCTATGAGTTAAATTGTTTAAAATTCGTATCCCAATAACACAAGATTTTAATAGAATCTTAACATCTTTAAAAGCTAAACTTTTTGAATATTAAAGGATTTTGGATAGAATTTTAAAATCTTTAAACCAATAATGATGAAATCTCAAAATTCTCCAAATCTACATAAATTCCTCTCCCAATACCCCCCCCCCCCCCCCCCCCCCCCCCCCTCCTCTTAGTTTGTCACTTGAGCATCTCGTTGAAACTTTCCTGCAAAGCCAGACAAGAGAACACACAACAACACACGAGACATACCGAAAACTAAACCATATGATTGACCAAGAGCTAACAGAGTAATGGTTTTTAAGTTACAGATTAAGGGAATCAAGAGCGACTTTGTAAAGTCCAATGCGCTCATTAAAAACAGATTAAAAGCAAAGAAAACAGAAAACACGGGGCATTTTATTCCTAATCAACTCCCCCATCACCGCTTCTCCCTCATACTCAGAGTACTCTCTTGTGAAACTCCCCCTGCTTTAGTGCATAACTAAGTTAAAAATTAATCAACAAGAAGAACAAGACAGAGAAACAATGACTTACCTCCTTGAAGAAGACAACTGATAATGACAATCGCCTGAGTAAGTACTCTGCGATCGGAGGCAGAGAGAGAACCCGAGACAACTGGAGGAACGCAGAACAGCAGTATTGGATCCATACAAACACCTGGATCCATACGAACACATGGATCCACTAGAAGATGAGGCTTACGTTGGAGAAGGTTGTAGATGAGACTCTGATGCGACATAAGAAACTTGGATCCTCGATGACAACCTAGATTCAGAAT